TTTTGGGAGCTTGTTTATCTTGTGAGCAGAAGGAAATCAGAAGTTCCCTATTTCCTGAAGAGGTTACAGATGTAGAATATAAGACTCTGAAGTCAGAAATGTGGTAATTAAAACATCATTGTCTTTCGAGAAAGAGCCATGGGAGAAATTGGAAAAATTATATAGATATTCTTTTAAATCAAAATGACCAACTAGAAATATACTGTCTATGGCTGAAAGACAAGAGGAACAGCTGCAGGAAAGTCTTGGTAAATTACTTGATCAAATCCCACACGAAGCATTCTCTAATTCAGACCAGCACAGCCTCATCCCTCAGCACCCTGCTGCCCCTCACGACGCCCCTAAGGCAGAATGTCTGCATCAGCAGTGCCATCTGAACACAGACAGGCCTGGTGAGTGAGCTCCAGACAGAGCCTTGTAAGGCACCAGAAGGCTGTTCCACAAGGATGCACAGACATCCACTCATCAGCTGAACAAAACTGAGCAGAAAAGCTTTGCTGGCAGGTTTGATGGGGCAAAAACCCCAACCAGAAGCCCTGCAATACTTTTGTAATTAGCCAGCCTTCTAGGGGGATTATCCTAGCAAAATATTTGTCTTGTTCATCCTGCTTTTCCCCAATCCAGTAGGATCTGTGCGGTTTCACATTCAGCAGGGCTGGAAGCACTGCCATCTCTGTTAGCAGCTCTGCTGATGGCACAGATAACATCCCCAGCCGCAGATGTCTCTACACCTGGCAGTGGTTTGGTGTAAGAGCCTGCATTCAGAACACAGCTCAGAACCTGTCAGCCCCACTCCTGCCAGCAAAAGCTGCAGAGCTGCCACTCCACACCTGAAGGACCAAATGACCCCCAACCCTTCTGTCACCAGACGTGCTCTGGCACACTGGCAGTGTCCTCCCCTCTCAGGCTCTGGGACAGAAGTCCATCAACAGGACCATACGAAAGGATTTGAGGACCATACAAAGGCCCTGAGCTCAGACAAAGCGTTAAAAAGCTTCTCTTATTAAAACAGCCAGCAGAAGGGAACTTTAGATTTTGGAGAAAGAAGTAGACTTGTAGGACTGAAGGTAAAAGGCATTATCAGTTTGTTCTTAAGCCACCAAAGGTACATGGTACAGAGCAGGGTTTTCTGGCAACCCCTTCACTGCTTGCTTTCTAAACCTCTGGAAACAGCAGCAGTATCTTTAGATCCTTAAACACTCAATCTGGCTGGCATTTTGGAAAAATACCCATGTTTGTATAACAGAGCGACCCCTTGGTTTGCCCTGGTGTTTGCCCAGAGTCATTCCAGCGGGGTGAAGCTGTACACAGAGCTGAGGAGCCCCACCCGCCCCTTAAGCTCTTAATCCTCTGCCCTGGACAACTGCTTACTTCTCACTGCAAAAAATTATCTGTGCTGCAATGTTTAATCCATCACAGGACGGCAGCTTACACTGGAAAACACTGCACTGCCCCTTCCCTTGGGACTTCCCATGCTCCTCAGAGTGCACACTTCCCTTCCTCGCCGCAGGCAGCAACTCTGACTGACATACGTGGGTTTAGTTCAACAATTCTAAAAAAGTTTCAACCAGGAATGACATTTTAAACCAAAAAGCACAGCCATGCCATAGGAAATCCTACAACAACAGAATTTCAAATTACAAAGTATAAAACCACTCACATACGACTTTTGATCAACTCCACTGCCAACAGTCTGTCAGGACTGTTCAAATTAGGTATCCAACTTGAGAGCACATGGAGTGTTTTGTTTCATTTGTATTTGGGTTGTGTTTTAAGCAAAAGGATCGTCACCAGAAAAGCCAAACTATAAAAAAAAGTCAAAAATAATATGTCAGATGAAAGCACAGTGTGAGGGAGACAGGCAACATCCCCATCAGGCCAGATGTGGGATGGCTGTTTACAGCCTTGGACATTTAACATGGAAAGGTGCATTTTAAGGTTTTCCTCCTCTACCTCAAAGCACTAACACACACAAAGTTGTGTTCTTCACACACCAGTGAAAGCAAACACCATTATCTTTATTTCCTCCTGGGCAATGAAGCTGGTGAGTTACAGAGCTGCTGCAAGCCTGAGCACCACGGTCCCATGGCCCATCCAGAGACCCCACTCCAATTATTTCAAAATACTCTGGGTTCCACACTCCAAAAATGTTTTTCAAAGCACAGGAAACAACACTGGACAGTGACAGAACTAAATCCCAACTTCTGACTTTAACCTAAGGAAATCTCCCCTCTAGAAACAAGGAACATACCCTTTTGCTCAGGGGCAGGCTGTGTCCAGCAGCTGTCCTGACCCCTCATCCTGGGGGGGCAATACCATCACATGAGTAGAGCCAAACAAAAACTGTTCTAAAAGCATCTCACGAAATGTCAGTGGGAATTGCTCTGAACGTCACAGGACCAGGCACAGCAACCAGGACTGACAGCAGGGCATGCGGAGAAGGGGCGTGCGATTTCCCTGGAGCATCGGCTCTGCTGTTTGCTGTGGCCCTGGAAAGCCAGCCAGCCTTCCCAGCACAAACCTGAGCCCCCAGAAAGCAACCGCTGGAAATCCACTGCAGCACATGCTGCCATTGATCCAATTTACTCAGTGTAAACGACTTACATCGTATTCCAAAGCAGCGATAAATACTGCACCGGTGTTGTTTTCCTCAGAGTGAAGTCAGCACAACGGAACAGTTTGTTAAACATTCCCACAGCCCACCAGGGCTCACATCCACCAGCCCCAGGAGTGCCCACCCCCAGAGCTGCAGCACAGGGTCCAAGGCAAGGAGAGGCAGCAGGAATGTGCCGTGCCCGAGCTGTCCGATGCACCCACATGCATCCAAACCGCTACGATCTAAATTGGTTTATCTACTTTACAACTTCACAGCCCCATTTCTAGGTGGCACAAGAGCAACTCAGGATCTGATCTGAGACCCCAGGAAAGGAACTGGGTATCAGAGACCACTGAGAACCTCTTTTAAGCCAGGTGGAATTTTCCAAGTCAGACTCCCCATTCAAATCCAGTCTTTCAAATAGGGAATAATAAACAGGCAATCAAACCCCGGAAATGCACCCCACATGGATGTTACCCCAGCAGAGGCCAGCCCTGCAGTGACACATTTACCGTATTAGACCATAGGAAAAGCCACTTCCATCACACAGAGGTTGGCAGTCTGACCCAAAATGTTGGTTGCAGGCTCAAGTTGTGATTTTTCTGATGAATCAGCAAAAAAGCTTATTCAGCTCTTTGCAAAATTCGCAAATACTTGAAATAATGGGAAGAACTCATAAATGCTTCAGTTATTTTCTTCAAATTTCCCTTTCACTGAGTCTCTGAACACTGACCCCCTTCAACAGAAGTTGTGGAGTGCTGCATGTAGAATGAGAAGTGCCCAGGGGAGGCAGAGATTTCATCAAGGTTGGGGGACAATTCTGCTTTGCCAGAAGGTCCTCTGACCCTTTATTCTATATTTCTCTTTTAAACTCAATTGTCTTGGCCAAACTGCAATTCTCTTCCTCTCCTGCAAGGATTCCATCTGGACACAAATGGAACATTGCTTATTTTAATTTTAGGCTTAGATGCGGAAGCTATTGGCAAAAGTTTGTTGTAGGTCACACTATGAAAGCTGACCCTGGTCCCAAAAGGGATATTGAGGCTTCTGCTGCTGCTGCTTCTGGGGAGAGGAAGCACAGAAATAAGGAGGGGGGTAGGAGTAGAAAAAAAAGTTCAACTTTTGGGGTTTTTTAGAATTAATTACAAGCTCTGTCTCAGAGGGCCAAAGGTTTTTAAAGCCAAAGCCTTATCTGACCTATTCCTCTTGTCCTTACTTCACGAAACGACCATGGGGTGGATGGAAAGAAATGTAAAGTTTGGCTGACTGGTGCCTTCTGGGAAAAGTCTGGGAAGCCTCATGCACTGTCCTGCCTGATCCATAAACCAACAACCAAACCCATCACCCCAAAGCCAAGAACTGACCGCTACAGCTTGAGCTGGGAGTCTCAGAAATGAGAGAGGGCAAGAGTGCTCACAAAAATGTACAGACAATTTTGCCTCTCGAGATATCCCCTATTGCACTGAGAGAGATTCAGTGAAATTTGGAGAAAGGAAGGAACTAGAGGTTCAAGTTAACATGCACTGGTTCCAAGGAAAGGATGTTCACATGGCATCAACACATTAGCAGAAGGTACATTTGTTTCTCTGTGCTTTTGGGCCCTCCTTGTATACAGATAAACCCTCACAAAAAGGAATGCCCATGAGGAATTGTATATTTACTGGAGGGTTTGGGTAACACACTGTCAAGCAAAGCTCAAGTCATGCACTAGATGTTTATCAGCTCCAAGATACACAATTTACATATTTCATTTATTTTAAAATAAACATTTAAACCTCAATTTGTCTCCCCAAACCTCAGCTCCCTCTCAGAATATACTCCTTTCCCATATCCACAAAGAAGGTATTAGTGTCTCTATTACTGTACATTTTCACTAGTTCTGTGCTTGATATCAAAGCCTCCCAGTAAGCTATTGAGAGCAATAGCACAGGAGGAAGCCAGGCAGGTGATTAGGATTAAAAGAAAAGAACAGGACAAAAAAAAAAAAAAAAAGGAGAGAGAGAAAAAACAGCCAACCACCAAAGACCCGTGAGGTATCCCCAGAATCCATCTCCCAGTCGGAGCATGCCCTGGGCAGGCACCATGCAAGCCCGTGGCTCCGGTTCAGAGCCCTCCCATGCATGGAGCAGCAGGATGCGTCACAGGAAAGGTCGCAGCCAGCCCTGGGAACAGTTTAGGAAAAGCAAACTCCAGCCCTGCCGCTCAGACGGCTCACTGCTGTGCCAGCTGCACTTGTGTCTCTGCTGAAGCTGCTCAGCAGCGATCTCCCGGAATAGCCCCGGGCAGCTGCAGCTCCAGCTGGGCAGGGCACGGCCCCCCAGCCCTTCCCCTTTCTGCTCTGAAATCCCCCCGAGCGGGGAGCGCGGATCGCGGACCCCGCACAGCCCCTGCCGGCAGCGCGGACGGGGCGCGGGGCCGGGACAGGACCGGGACCAGGACAGGACCGGGACCGCCTAACATTTCCAGCTGCAGCTTCCTGGCCGTTTTCCGTGCCAGGGCAGCTGCGAAGGGCTCGCTCTGTGCCCATGTATCACAGCTGAAGAGGAGCCACGCGTGCCATCCCTCACTTCTGTCCAGGTGAGACGCCGCCTTCCATCACCTGTTTCTGCCCCTGCCAGCGTTCCAAATGCCCTCGGTTATTTTTAATTAACTGCCACCGCGATTTCATTTTTTAAATTGGCAAATAAGGTGAACATCTATCCACGCGTTCTGCAAACCACTAACAATTTAGAGCACAAAGGAGCAGTTGTAACTCACTACAGAAACTACTCCTCACCTGCGAGGCTGAGCCAGCACAGGTGGAGGACACATAGGCAAGGATTCCTCTTGTCTGTCTTTAGAAAAATATCTTTTCTTAGCAACTACTTTTGTTTTAATTTATGACTGAGGAAATGTAACTATATAAAACTCGTAGTTTAAAACATCAGAAGTAGAATTTAGAGTAAAATATTTAAATGACAAATTTTATTATTAGAATATTAAAGGGAACAATTTCATTCTTTGAACCGCATTTTACTACTTTAAAAAAAAACAGTTTTACGATAACAAATCTACTGATTATTAAAATGCTTTATTGACCTAGTGCCCTGATTTTAGCTAGGGCAGAGTTCATTTTCTCCCAGTAGCTGGTACACAGCTGTGCTTGGGTTTGGAATGAGAACAACCCTGATGGTTTAGCTGTAGCTGAGCAGCGCTTGCACCAAGTCAAGAACTCTCCTGCTTCTCGTGCCCTGCCAGCTCAGAGGGGCATAAGGAGCTGGGGTGGGCACTGCCAGGACAGCTGACCCACCACTTGTTTTTCTTGGGGTTTATTTCTCTCTCTTGGTTATTCTCCTTTTCATTACAATATTTTTGTCATTATATTTCAGTTCTTAAACTGTTCTTTCTGATCCTAACACTTCCTCTCACATCTACCACTCCAACACAGTAATTAGGAGATAGGAAAGACTTCAGTGGGGAAATTTTGAGGCTTAATTCAAACAAAATTAATATTTAAGCTAGACCTGAAAATGATACTACATGCAAAGAGCTCAAAGCATTGTCCAAGTTTCCATGTGAGTATCAGGGTTTGCACAGACACCTCACAGGCTCCAACCTTTTAATGCTAAAAGCTTGTGGGCTCAGAATAATGCAGACCCTCATCTAAAAATCAGAAACAAAAAGAGAATGAAAAAATTAGCTTATCAGAAAAACAAAGCTGTTGAATTTCAGATTTCAAGAGAACATAGGGACTGCTAGACAGTAAGAAGAAATGAAACAATTACTGGTGGGTTTTGCAGAACAGAAATACAGTTCTGCCCTTGAGGTGTCCGGATGCTGTGGCCAAAGGAGCCCACGCTGCCCTCGAGAGCCATGGCTTTACCAGGAAATGCACAACCTAATCTGCACTGCTCTGTGTACCTGCTGGCCCTCCTGCCGTGTCCTTCAGAGCACGTGCCAGGAGAACATCACCTGTGATCCAATCAATGCAATACCTGTGGCCACCGACTGCTGCCTCCTCACTGCAGCATCCCGGAGTTTGACTTTCTGGATCTGTTAATGTGTACAGAGCCGTTCACACTTCTGCTCTTCCCCTTGCTAACTGCAGCTGCAGACAGGACACACCAACAGTATCACCAGGCTCACAGGGACTGCTACTCGTGGGGCCACAGCCACAGTGACATTCACAGGCCACGCATCCATTCTCAGGCACTGTCAGAGGGGGCACGGTGCTCACCAGCACTCCGAGGACAGGCACGGCTCGCTCGGCCCTCTGTCCTTACACACCACCCCTGAGGGGGCTGGAAGGCACAGTGGTGGGGAACTGAGACCCTGCAGAGGTCACTCTGCACTGACTGACCCCCTTCCCTGCCACACCGCAGGAGGGGAGCACCAGCACCACATCTGATGCCACTGCAGTTGCTCCCTTGCTGCTTCCTGCAGTGGGAATGCGATTTTAATTCTTCATCCTAATTCATCCTTCATCATCCTAATTCCACTCTTCACCCCATTTCCCTCCACTATGACAAACAAGAACAACTACCACTCAACACACCCTTTTCAGGCACTAAAATAGCCCACAGTGTATTTTGCATACCTTTATTCTCTTAAGTATTAAAACCCAGACATTGCCCTATGACAAATGGCATAATAACAACAGTAAATAAGCAAAATGTTAGTCTCTTGACAAACTTGCAACACATCAAATGTACCAGCATATCTCCACAGTCACGACAAGCACTGCCCTCCAGAGGAGATGAGCAATTCCAGCCAGGCACCCTGAGCATCTCTCCACCTGGCACCCACCCCACAGGCTGCCAGGCAGGGCTCGTCCGTGGGGATGCAGAGAAGGGTCAGAGCAGCCCTGGGCAAGCACAGATCAAGACCTGCCCCGGTGCCCTGAGGGAGAGGGTTCCCCTCAGCCAGCCCCTGCCTGGCCCTGACCCCCAGCCAGGCCCCTGGGGAGTGGGGACAGCACCCCACAGCTCCCAGCCTGTGCTCCTGAGCCTTGCCCCTTCTGACACCCACAGGGAGACCCACAGCAGCTTTCTCACTGGATTGCACCAGCATCCAGCACTGCAGGTTTGCCCAGTACCAACATTCCCACCACATCAGAGACAAAATCTTAAAACTAGGTTCTTCTGTTAGCACACTCAGCACAATTTGCAATAGCTGTGGTGTGTGTTGTTCTTCCTGCATCTCTAGCTTCCTCCTAACATCAGAGATACCATCAGGCACGATCATCTCCCCTGATTAACTCCATTTCGCAGTTCAAAAAAGATTTCTGGTGACGGTGACCACTGTCACCAGTTCCTGACCCAGTAATTGCATTGTTTGTTTATTTATCAGGCAGCTGCATTTGTTTCCGTAAATAGCTCAAATGTGCACTTGGTACTACAGAATTTTTGGTAAATGTACAGAAAATAAAAGAAAACCGGTTTGTAAAGATTATTCTTACGTTCAGTAAATCAGCCACAAACTCTGAAAATTGACAGCCAAGTTACACAATTCTCAGCCAAGTTCAAGAATTGCCTTAATGGTACTGGGGACAGCCAGGGGACAGTGCAAGAGTTTGACCTCAGAAGGGACTGAGCACTTCTAATGGTTTATGCTACTTCCCTTTTTGTGTGTTTTGCCAAGACACCACCATTTACAAGCTGAGAAAGTTCAAAGCTTTTCTGTATTTTACCAAATCAATCTAGTTTATCCAGTGGATCGAGTTTGCTGGGTTTGCACAACCAGTTGACATTATTTACACAAATCAATACACTTTATGCTGGCCCAGGCATTCTGGGCAAGAACTGCTGCTTGAGTACAAAAGGCTGTTTGTGACACCCAAAAGCTGGCACTAACGTGTACCCTCTGCCTCACACCAGCAGCAGCTGCAGGACACCCTGCAGGGGACAGGCCAGTGACGGGACAGTGCTCACTGCCCCTGCTGAGCCACCCACAGCAGTAGGACAGGGCCTTCCAGAAAGAGCCAGGTGTGACGAGGTGACAGAGAGAGCAGGTAACACTGATCGTGAAGATGAACGTTGCAGTGCACAGCAGGGGCCACAGGGGCCTCCAGCCTTACCCATGCACTGACGGGCTTAGGTTGACTATGACTGCTCCATGGCTCTGCCCCTGACCAGTTCTGGAGTCCTGGCACATCTGAAGCCCTGTCTGAGTACTGGTTCTGAGATGGTCCAAGCAGGTGTTGCACTGCAGGAGCCCCTCAGCACTGTCACACTGCCCTGTGTCACAATAAAAGATCATCTTCCTGTCTCCCCCCCAGGAACCACAGCAAGAACAGAGGCCCCATGCCCAAGGATGGACAGTGCTCCAGACCCTTAGCAAAGCACCACAGCAGGCAGGGCAGACAAGGTAAGGACTTGCCAATGATCCAGAAAGATGTCCAGAGTCTGGCTTGGACTGTGGCTCCCTCTCAGCACAGACAGTTGCTAAATATGCTGGTATCAAATGAAAAATTTGTCTAGGCTGTTCTCCATGCTGCACAGACACAACAGACTTTACTAAGACTTCATATCTCCAATGACACAGTTCTGAAATAATCTTTTGTTCTGTGATGCCTCAGCACAAAACATGCTTCATGAACTTCCTAAGCCATTTAATATCTGCTCCAAAATCCAAGCATAGGAAGACCCACCTGTGGGTTCCTTACTTTAGAAAACCCTACAGACCAGAACAATTTCTAAACACACCACGTGCAGAGAGAGGATCCTGCTGAGACAGCCTGGCAAGAGGAAAGGAACAGGGACACAGCAGAAAGAATAGTTTGTAAACACAGTGTGTTACTATTTAAATAAAAATCGCCATTTGCTATTGGTGCCTTTTCAGCAGGTCCTAATTTCAGCAGTATCACCCCAAACTTGACCCATTAACCTCCCAACCCTAACACATCTATTCACATGGCAGTTGTAACATCCTCTCTCCACATCATGTTTTTCCTTTAAAACCCCAACCAAACAAAAACAAATGCCTTGATGACTAGAACTGAAACAAAGACAGGATGGCCACTGCTCCAAAGGGAGGAGTCCCAGGCAGGGGCTGAGGGCCAGCTGTGGGTGTGCTCAGGGTAACACCTGCTCTGTCACTTCTGCTCATGCACGCAGGTTCCAGAGCACACAAAAGCTGATCAGCCTTTAGAGCGTCCCTAAGAGGGACAGAAAACAATACACCAAAGGACACAATTTGACTCATTTGAGACAAAATGTTCATTTCTAGTTATTGCAAGGCTGCATTCTGGTCTCAGCTTGCTCCACGGAGACATCACCTACTGACTTGGAATTGGGGATAATAGCAAAGTCTATTTTCTAAAAGATGTGGTTTTTCTCAGCTACAAGGCACATATTTTCCAGTTACCCAGGGTTTCCCTTGCCAATTAGAGCAGCATTATATTTATATCTATGTAGGTTCTGCCCTCCCCAGAGAGGATAATACACCCCCGCAAACATTCTGGCAAAGCAAAGCAGACAGCAGACGTGATTTCTTCTTGGAGATCCTCTAGAATGCAGATCTGACTGACTTGAGCAGCCAGCTGTAGCTCCCACGTTACACTGACCCACAGACACCCTCCTGTGTGCCAGGCTGCTGGAAGCTGAAAGCAAACTGCCAGCTGCACACACGGCTTCCTTGCAAGGGAATGTCAGGAAATGTGGGCACATACCAGGGATCTCCATCTTCACTAACATTAGAGGAGTTCTTACAGAACACTTTGACCAGGAGTATTTGTATCTCTCATGCCTCCTGGTAAACCACTGCTAAAAATACAAACTGGTCCTTAAATACATCCCATCAACCCTTTGTGTCACCAGATCCCTGTGCACCAGTCCCAGTTCACAGCATGTGAACTCGTGCCCAGTAAAGGGGCAGCCAGGGCTGGAAGGCAATGGGTTAAAGTCAGAGAAGCAAATGGATCCTCTCTGTTCAAAGCAGCAGCGTGCCCTTGAACATCACCAGACAGTGAAATGCCACCACTTGGAAAAATACTCTGCACCACTGCTGGGAATGCTGTGGTGTGGGAGCGTGGTCATTTCTGAGAGGCAGGCCAAGTTTATTTGGAAGTAAGAGTAGAAAACTTACAGTGATTAACAGAAAGCCCAGCATCACTCTGTCCTACTGAGATCCTCTTTCTCTGCCTCTAGGAACGAAGGCACTGTAGGATGTTCAACACCAGCACAGACTCCTTGGGAAACAACTGCAGCCACCGCACAGCAGTAACTACAACAGTCATTCCACTGCTCTACTCCTTCATCTTCCTCACAGGGCTCTTGCTGAATGCCCTGGCAGCCTGGGTCTTCCTGTACGTTTCCAGCACAAAGAGTTTTATTGTCTATCTCAAAAACATCGCCGTGGCCGATCTCCTCATGAGCCTGACGTTCCCTTTCAAAATCCTCGCTGATTCAGAAATTGCACCTCCAGAGCTCAACCTGTTTGTGTGCAGATACTCTGCAGTTGTGTTCTACATGAACATGTACATTGGAATCAGCTTTTTCGGCCTCATAGGGTTTGACAGATACTACAAAATTGTAAAACCTTTGTTCACCTCCTTTGTTCACACAGTGAACTACAGCAAGGTGGTCTCTATAATCATATGGCTGTTGTTAATGCTTATATCATTTCCAAATATGATTTTAACTAATGAAATCACTAAAGACAATTATTCTAGAAAATGTATAGGTCTTAAAAGTGAGCTTGGCAGACAGTGGCACACAGCAACAACTTATATTTGCACAGGGATTTTCTGGGTTGTTTTTGTTCTGCTAATCATATTTTACACTGCTATATCCAAAAAAATATACAGCTCTTACAAAAAATTCCGAAGGAGCTCAGACATGGCCAAGAGAAAAACCAGCCGGAACATTTTCAGCATCATGTTTGTGTTTGTCATTTGTTTTGTGCCCTACCACCTTTGCAGGACCCCATACACCCTGAGCCAGACCAGCTCCCAGTTCACCTGCCAGTCCCAAAAATCACTGTACTATGCCAAGGAGTTCACTCTGGTGCTGTCTGCTGCCAACGTCTGCCTTGACCCCATTATTTATTTCTTCCTCTGCCTCCCCTTTAAAGAAAAGCTGTATCAAAAACTGCATCTCAAGCTGAAAGCTTCAAGTGAGGTTGAAATTTCTAAATCCAGAAGATCAAATACACTTCGGGAAAGTATAAACATCTTGTAGTTTCAGGTCTGCACAATTATGCACGTTTCAGGAAGTCATTCATGAATGCCAATGTCCCAAAGAACCTTAGCAGATGAGAACCAGCAACAAACAAAAGAGGTTTCAACACAAAACACCAAGTGCTGTTTCTCTGTGTATATATATATATATATAACCATTACTGCATGTGCCAATACATTCACCATGTGCTGTTTCAGCTGACGCTGTGATTGCGTCAGGATGTGACACAACCCATCTGGATCTTAAAAGCAGAGAGAGAAGTACCTGGAATGGCATGTTCTGGAGCTCCAGGCCATGGGTCTCGGAAAGGATCACCCAAAAGACCCAAAACTAAACCAATTTTCTGCTGTTTCTCACAAAGCCAGGCACGACACACAACAGCCACCAAAGCAGCCTGACAGCCCTGGGAACACCCAACAGCTCCACCTCGACCAGGGCAGAGCCCCAGGGAGCAACATGAGGATGGTCAGTACGAGTCTCTCAGAATTGGCCTCCACCTGCCCACCCAAGGGGACTGAGACTGGGCAGGGAACCTCACTCATTTATCTAGTGGGTCATAGAGCAAAGGGTTGGTGGCAATGCGCAGCTTAAGAAAGGATTCTATGCCAACAACTGGGAGGAAGAGGGGGGAAGACTTCATTAAACAGACTCTGGAGGCTCTGCCCTCTAAGCAAGGGAGCCAACCTGCTGGGGAAGGGAATCTGGTGCTTTGTAGAAGATCTTTTGTCATTTATGGCAAAAACATTCAGTTCCCTACATGGCAGGGCTTGGTATTTGCCTACGTAAATCTACATAATTGTGGCTGTGAAAGATCACTGGCACAGGCAGAAAAAAACACTTCCCCAATATATATTTGAATAACTTTTTAATTGCTGTGCAGGCTTTGAAAACATCATTTATATTGCTTCCTCACCCCAGCAGATTACTGATATTAGAACAACAAGAATCTACATGCAGGCACCAGGGAAAGGGTGGCGATCAACACCCTTGTTCAAACGGATGCTACACATAATTCACGTTGAAAAAAATCCTCCTCCAAGAGCTTCACTAGTCAAGAAACGCTCCTGTGCCCCTGCTCCTGCTCCAAACCCACCCTGTGAGTGACAAGTCCCAAATAACACCAGTGTCAAACCAAGCCCTTGCTCCATCTCCCCAGCCTTGCTCTTCACTTTGCTGGATGAACTGAAGCCAATATTTTTTCAGCACTGGGTAAATTAATCCTTTCACATCTTTCCCAGCACATCATGCCTCAGATACCCCAAGCCAGCTCTTTACACACCCAATGAACTCACATTCACATGTCTGTTCTCCTAAAACACCTCTGCAGAAAGGGCAGACTGTTTCACAGTAAAGGCTTACCCAACTGTCCCATACTTTGTCTTTTTAGACCTGAAAGTTTCCTGAGTTGTAAACTGACTACAGAAAAAGGGAGAACAACAGACAAAGACACAGAGACAGAAACAACTGACAGTGGTGCAGTTTGGGTTTAAAAAAAATCCCTACAAGTATGGCAAGATCAGCTTTGCATAAGCAGAACACCAAAAAATGAGCCCATGTTTGCTCACAACTGGACATGGGATCATTCCGGATCACGACGTTTTGCAAACATTTTGACAAATATGGTCTGAACTTTCAGCTTATGACTAAATGTAACACCAGACATTCTTCATCTGTTCCTTCCCAAAGCTCTGATACGGGGTTTGTAAATTCCTGTGGATTCTCAACTACAACCAAGTGTCACCAGTCAGTTTCAGTATTGCTGTCAGTACCTCACCCTGCATGGTGTCAGACCTTTTCTCACGGCATACCAAAACCAAAATAAAAATATTCCTTCTACTTCCCTAATGTGTCTTTTTTTATTTTTAATGGTGCTTGGCAAATGTCCAAAGGTTTAGAATATTAACTGAGATCAGTTTATTAACTGAGAATCCCTACATGCCTTCAAATTAACACATAAGAGTGGAACTCTAAAGCAAACACTCACGAGATTCCCAAAACCTGGAATTTCATGCCAGTATATTACAATGAGTGAGGACTAACTACATTGCAAAATCCTGATTCCAGACAGACTTTAAATGTAAAATATATGGGGGTTAGGGGGCAGGGTGCAACAGAGTTTCAGATTTATAAAAACAAAAGCAAAGAAAGAGCCACTGATGTCCCAGACTCATAGCTCCAGGTCAGGGATCTGGGACTGACCAGAGGAACTTTTGGGAACCACACAAGAAAGTCCACACAGTGGGATTGACCTAACCACACATCTCATGACCCTGTGAACACACGACAAACACTTAAACCTTCAGGCCTGAAACCAGCAGGACACACAGCACAGGGCAGTGCCCATCGGCCCACAGGGGTCACTCGGGTCACAGCTCCAGTCTCCATCCTGATCAGCTCCCTGACACGGACAGCTCAAGCACCTCTGACCATCTGCCCTCCACAAGAGCTTAATGGGGATCATGAAAATCTGTGAGACTGGCCACACCAACACGGCTGAGCCGGCTGTTCCACAGCCCGTTCCCCACCATCAGTCCCCGTTTGCAGAGCGTGGGCGCAGGGGCACAGCCCTCCCTGCCTCTCCCCCAGCAACAGGAAAGAGAGGGCTCTGGGCTGTTCCGGGAGCACTTACGTCTTTCTGTCCCACTCTTTTGGGTAACTTCCACGTGATTTAGCCATTTGAACTCTGGGTTGAACTGCGTCAGTTGGCTCATTTAAAAACCACAGCCACGTTTTCAGAGCCCCACAGAGGCAGCCAGAGCAGAAGGTCACACACCATCGGGCTGGGAGAGCCAGCTGAGACACATCAGACCTTCGCAGACAAATGCTCAGAAGAGCCCAGGCCAGAGGGACAGGTAGGTGGTTTCAGCCTCTCTTTCAGCCTGTTTAGATGCCCATGAACGCACAGTCTGAAACCCGGCTGTGCCAAACGTGCGGGGGGCCAGGCTCAGCAAACCAGCCTCGCCGTGTCAGTGCCAGTGCCACCCGGCCAGAGCCACGCTGCACCCTCGGGGGCTCCATCCAGCAGCCCCTCAGGGCTCGGTTTGCTGGGTGCTCCTCGGGCTGCACCGCCCGGTGGGGCAGGAAACTCCAGCGCCAGGGGAGCAGCGAGCCCAGCACCGCCTGCCCTCCCCCTCACCCCACACACCCGCACTCCATCCCACCAGATACCTCTTCTCAGGACAACAGAGGCCCGCAGAAAGCCAACTGCAAGGAGTAAACTGCTTCCTCCCCCTTTTAAACTGCTGGAGCATCTGCAGTTGTTTTGCTTTACAAATTATGCATGTCTGGATACGTATTTTACAGCAGAAATTATACGTGCAGTTACAGTAGTTCTCTTATATTGTATATTAAAATTAGAAAAAATATAAAGAAATAGAACTATTGCATTCTAATGCTACTCAAGATGTAAATGTATTGGGTTTTCATTCCAAGAAATTCTAAGGAACAGCCTTTCCCACAGCCATTCTATGCAGCAGCCTACAGTGTAGCAAACAAACAAGTCCCTCAGTTATGGAGTCATATATTTAGTTGAAACAGGACCAACATTTTTGGCTGTTCTTCCCTTTAACTTCTAGTGAAGTCTACAAAGGAAGTGAGCAAAATTACTTATTATCTGCTTCTTTCAAAATATGCTTTTCCTAAAAGTTTCATAAAAACATACAATTAATTTGTTCGAGTGGGAAGAGAGAGCAGTGTGCAAACCTCAGGACTGATCAGAACCATTTGCTCACCCATTAGACATATCCACATATTGGTTTGCCAGTGCATTCACTCAGAACTCCCAACACATTTTTAATTTTAATCTTTGTACAAGACTGGTACAAAGATTACTTCAGGCATACTTTCAATCCTTAAAAAAACAAGTTATGAAGTTTTAGCATTATTAACTAGATGCTTAAATAGATTCAAACCTTTTTCTCTGGCACCTTGACTGAGGGCAGGTGTTAACCAAACCCTCCCAAAAAGGCTGCTCTAGTGGAAAAGCTGCTCAGAAGGCTCTATGGTTTCAGCAACAAATTCTAACATATTCCTAACTCTTCCAACATGAGAACAAAGCCCTCCTGAGTATCTGGCAAGCAGCATGAAGAGCGAGAAAAATATTTCTTCCTAATTGCATTTTTTCCTGTAACCAAACAAAGTTCTAAGAGAATAACTACTGTCTCTTAGGAAAGGTAGATGTCATTGACATCCTCTCGGGTCTTTTTGTAGGTCCTTGATACCTCGAGTCAGCAAAGCCAACTCACACAAGGAGTTTACAATGTCAAGCAACGTTTCAGAATGCCATATCTACGAAGAAATGGAACCTTTTACCTATTTTTACTTCTTGATTTTTCTTATGGGAATTATTGGAAGCTTTTTTGCACTGTGGGCATTCACACAGAAACACCAGAAACACAAGCCTATGAGCATCTACTTAATAAACCTCCTCACTGCAGATTTCTTGTTGACTTTGACATTGCCAATGAAGATTATTGTTGACCTAGGAATTGCATCCTGGAACCTGAGAATATTCCACTGCCAAGTTACAGCCTGTTTCATCTATCTGAACATGTATTTATCAATCATATTCCTGGGATTTGTGAGCATGGATCGCTGCCTCCAGTTGATGCACAGCTCCAAGATCTACCGCATCCAGGAGCCCGGGTTTGCCAAGACACTGTCCGCAGTCGTGTGGATCATGATCCTCCTCATCACCGTGCCCAACATGGCTATTCCCCTGGAGCACACCGAAGAAAGACCCGGCGCGGGCTGCATCGACATCAAGTCAAAGTTTGGGAGGGACTGGCATGTGTTCACCAATTTCATCTGCACAGCCATATTCCTGAATTTCTCAGCCGTGATCCTGATTTCCAACTTCCTCGTTGTCAGACAGCTCTACCGCCACAAGTACAGCGAGAGCTACGGCAGCGTGAGGAAGGCGCTGACCCACATCCTGCTGGTGACGGCCGGGTACCTGCTCTGCTTCGTGCCCTACCACGCCGTGCGCATCCCCTACACGCTGAGCCAGAGGGACACCACGGCCAGCTGCCCCCTCAAACGGGCCCTCTTCAAAGCCAAGGAGTCCACCCTGCTGTTTGCAGTCTCCAACCTCTGCTTTGACCCCATTCTCTATTACCACCTTTCCAAATCGTTCAGATTGAAATTCACAGAGGCGTTTGCAGCACCCAAGGAGACAAAGGCTCTCACAGACGTGGAGGTGCAGCACAGCACTGAACAGCAGATACACGGCCCTGACTCTCAGACACAGGGACAGAGTGAGCCCACCTGCAGCACTGAACAGCAGATACACAGCCCTGACTCTCAGACACAGGGACAGAGTGAGCCCACCTGCAGCAGGGAACAGCAGATACACAGCCCTGACTCTCAAACACGGGGACAGAGTGAGCCCACCTGCAGCACTGAACAGCAGATACACAGCCCTGACTCTCAGACACAGGGACAGAGTGAGCCCACCTGCAGCACTGAACAGCAGATACACAGCCCTGACTCTCAGACACAGGGACAGAGTGAGCCCACCTGCAGCACTGACAGCTGCTGAGTGACTGTGCATGCAGACAGCACTCCTGATGATTGGTGAGCCCAAGCAGAAGGAAAATACTTGACCAATAAATCCCCTTCGCTGTGTTACACACTCACACAGTGGGTCTGAGCTCACAGAGCCTTCAGCAATGCCTTCCACAAACAGCTCAGTGAACAGTGGTGACCCACCAGGGATCAGCAACGCCTAAGAATACGTGTTCAGATTCAAATATACTTTAGAATTACTTATGGCAACGTGAACTCACCTTTTCTAAGGTAAATATTGTGGAGTTACTATATTAAATGGCTTGGTGCAATCAAGTGAAGAAATTATTGAACAGAAGTTCTTCAGCTGCAAAGCTTTTTCACACACATGATTAACCCAAAAGCATTTCAGAGGGCATTATTTACTCCAGAAAGGTATTTTAAACTGCATCAATTAAAAATTATTGTACCTGCCTATATTATACCTTCAGTTTTTATAAATAAATTTCTTGTTCTTGCCTCTCCTTGCTGCTGCTTCAATGAATATGAAAAAAATTAATGTTATTACAGAAAAGTCAAGCAAGTTTTAAAACAAAGATAGATTATAAGTATACAGCTTGTTCTCTTAGTTTGTTTTCTGTTCATAAAAATTTATAAAACAGCAGCTAAGTTTATTAATATTCTGATATACATTTACTTCCAAAACTTATGCATATACACAATAATCAATAATCAGAATTTAAAAATCAACTTGCACTGGCAAAATCCAGCTACTTAGATTAGCTCCATCTGCAAAACAAAACTATTTCAGAAACAAAACCAAGTTATCCTTTATCTAATCCTTGAGCAAAAAAAAGGTGTGGTTCATATTTTGCTCAAAGTAAGCATTCAAAATGGTTCATTCAGTATTTTCATAACAATTCTCCTGCAATAAATCACAACCCAAACTTTGTGGGCTAAGAAATTTAAAGGAAAGAAAACTGGAGTTATGACATGATACTCTCACATGACACTTCATGGACTGAAAGGGCTTAATATTGTTAAAAAGTTATCATTGTTGTTTAAATATAATAACAATTCTGAAGTAGGTACATTCCAGTTTGAGGCCTGTTCAGTATCTGGGGCCTTTTTCCAGCACAGTGGAAAACATGAGAACCCATCTGCATGAGGGCTGGGATCTAGAGTGTTACTCATGGGGCTTCCTCCAGTTCTCATGAGCCTACAGACAGGCACAGCAGCAGCAACCAAAATCCACCCTGTGAGCAGCAGCAAGCGGGCAGGAAGAAGAGACACCATCCTGTCACACAGTTCAGAGCTATTTCTTTCAGATATTTTGGTGTTCATTCATCTACCCAACTCCAGAATAAAACATTCTATTTAGCAAGCTTTTGTCAGACCCTGGGTCATGGTGGGTTACTGTGGTGCCTGTCCCTGAACCCCAGTGACCACCACACTTCTCTCCCTGGAAAGGCTCTGCTGTCCCATCAGGCAGCACCACAACACACCTGAGCACAGGTCACTCACTGGGGCATGGGAAAGGCTGGCACAGGTCACTCACAGAGGCAGGGGGAAGGCTGGCACAGGTCACTCACAGAGGCAGGGGGAAGGCTGGCACAGGTCACTCACAGAGGCAGGGGGAAGGCTGGCACAGGTCACTCACAGAGGCAGGGGAAGGCTGGCACGGGTCACTCACTGGGGCATGGGGGAAGGCTGGCACAGGTCACTCACAGAGGCAGGGAAAGGCTGGCACAGGTCACTCACAGAGGCAGGGGAGGCTGGCACAGGTCACTCACAGAGGCAAGGGAGGGCTGGCACAGGTCACTCACAGAGGCAAGGGAGGGCTGGCACAGGTCACTCACAGAGGCAAGGGAAGGCTGGCACAGGTCACTCACTGGGGCATGGGAAGGGCTGGCACAGGTCACTCACAGAGGCATGGGGAAGGTGTGGCACTGGTCACTCACCAGGGGGATGGGGAAGTGTGTGGCGTACTGCAGGTGGCGGAGGAGGTCATAACTGGATGGGACAATCAGTTCTCTCAGCCTCTCCCTCTTGGCTGACTTCTCGCTCGGGACTGGGATTCTTTGGTCGAAGGAAGGGGTCACACTCTCACAAGACTCCCCAGGTACCGGAGAAAAGATCTGAGACATGTAAAGCAAAGGTTTAAGGTAAGTGTAACCTCCAGCTTCTGAAATCCAGCAGCTGCAGACAAAGATGGGATTTGCTCTTGCTTGTAGCTACTTGTTAAATATCTGAGGTTTTTCAAAGACAGACAAAGGAAGGCAATTGCAATCAAGCCTGAGATTTAAGATAAATGTACATATTATATCCCTGTGCACATCCCCGTGGTTATTAGACAAGTTTTAACCTAGAGATAGTCAGGGAAAAAGCATTCTGATTTGGAGCAATCTGCACACTCCTCATGTTGCTGTGACACAGAAACCACGATAAGCTGTCAGCGACTGAGGGAAAACAATGGGACAGGGGAAGTGGGAGGTGACAAGAGACACTGTAAGCAGGCATGGTGCTTGAAACCACCAACATGACAACATCAACCAGAAATGGGGTCCCAATATCCTGCAAGTGATAGGTCTAGGCAGTCCATGCAAAACAAGGGGAAATCCAAAGGAAGAAACAGGAGATTCAAGAGTCATGCAGAACAGACAGGAAAATGAGAGGGAAACAGATTTGAAAACAGTGCCAAAACATAGAACCATCCCTTGAGAAGCAGGTGGCATCAGTGGGGGTCCTCGATGTCACACAAGTGGGGAGCTCTGCACATTTATTCCTCCTCACTGTAACACACAGTGCTCAGCTACACAGCTCTGCACATTTATTCCTCCTCACTGTAACACACAGTGCTCAGCACACTGGGGATGGGGCAGGGAGGAGACGCACTCTGGGTGTGCAGGAGGACAGGCAGGGCAGCAGAGAGGAGCAGCACGCTGTCACAGCAGAGTGCAGAGAACAGAGGCCATTCACTGACAGACACAGCAGAGACTGGATGTCACAGGCCATCCATGGCTGTCGAGGGAAGGAGCAGGGTGGTGCTGGGGCATGGAGGATGTTCAGTGGCAACAGCAGCAGCCACGGGCAGCAAAGGCATCACAGGCATGCAGAAAATCAAAGACAAACCTACTGGAAATTCTGAACCAAAATTTGCCTTAAAGTCACTCTTGTCTACATCATCAAAAATACCAGTGGTTCCTGAGTCAATGCCCACATGTTCCACAATACCACGATCCTAATAATTGCCAGGGAGAAAAACAAGTATAAGTCACAGCAAACTCAAGCACTGTGCCTCTTTAAGAACCGTGTCTTTCAGTTGGTCCCAAGTTATTCAGATCACCGGACAGCTGCCAGTTCAGTACATCTGCACCAAATCAGCAACATTTACAGTTACACACAGCAATGAAGTTAATGGATCCTTTTCAGCTTTCTCAAAGAGGAAGAGACAAGGAGACACAGAGTAAGACCCCCAATATCTCACATCTGAAATACTAATGCTCACTGAAAAGCCACATTTAATGAAACAGAGTAACAAACATGGGAAGAGCACAAAGCATTACCTCCAGTTTCACGTCATGATCCTTTGAACAGTGTTCATCTACAGCTTCCCCATTAGGAGAGCATGGTCTGGGAGCTGCAGTGAGGGACAAGTCCCCACGAGATATTAAAGTGCACATGTAGGCATCGTGGGAGAAAACATCATGCCGAGTGAATTCCGAAAAAAGCAGCACCAAATTCACAAACTCTGTCTTCTCATGGTCACTGCTTGGGTCAGCTACACACAAAAGAAAATAACCCACAAGTTAAACTGTAGTTTCAGCTCATAAAGATTTGGGTTTGAACTATCCAAATCATAAATGCCAGCTCCTTAATTTTCAAGGCCTACTGAAAATGTCTTGGGCATTTGCACAGAACAAACCATTTCCCAACAAACCATTTGCCAACAAGCCTGCACGGTCCTGCTTCACTCTCAGCTCCAGACACAGGACAGACCCCAATGGGTTCCAGAGCCTCCCACCTGTACAAACTTGCCCCTTCTGGGAACAGGGGCTCAACTGCCAAGTACAATGTTCAAAATATATAAAAAAATCAAACCAAGGGAGAAAGAGGGCCAAGGGCATTCCGTGTGTGAGGAAAAATCAGTCTAAAGCTCTGGATTATAACGTGCCACCCAACAGCTGGCCTTTCCTCCTAAATTACTGTCTTACCTACAGCCCTTTTGCATTTATAACAGAAAATCCTATAAAATATTTGCAGAGAACTCAGGATCTGCATGCCAGGCCTCCAAGATATAAAGCCAATATTTTCATTAAAGCTTGACAGTGTAGTGCATTTTATCTATTAGAGATGCTCATGCACATCAGGAAAACAATAATTCAACTAAATGCATGTTCTTTTGTCAGAACCAAGCAAAGCCTGGAGAAATACAAAATATAAAATGTTGTTACTAAGTTTTCATTTGTCACTGCTCTATTTAATTTTTTGACTTGTTCTTTACCACAGAAGGGTTTGCAACAGTACAGTTAACAGAAAATATCTTTATACCATGCCAAATCTACTGGGCAACAAAAGAACTACCAAACTTGAACTATCACCATTTATTTAAAAGCAAATTATGCTTTAGAGTTCAGATTAGCCCAGCATGTAAGACTGTGTTTAGCCATCCTCACCAGGCTGCAGCTCAGCAGCTGCCAGTCTGCCCAGGAGCAGGGGGAGCCATCCCTGCAGCCCCAGGTCCTGCTCCCCCCAGCACCCCTCAGGAATGAGGCTGGGGGAGCATCCCAAAACACGCACCTGAGCCCAGGTGAGCTGCCCTCCCTCAAAATACACCACTATGTGCTTTGCATTTTGGAGCCTTGGGAGCTCAACCGCTGTAAAACCAACACAACACCACGAAACTCGTCCAGTGCTCCAAAACACCAAAGGACATTTCAAACACGGGGAAACATCCCCAGCTCTTTCCCCCTGCCTTTCAGAGCTCCCCGGGCCCAGGAGAACAACACCACATCTGAAGGAAGCCCAGCAGAAACACAAGGCTTAATAACACAAATAGTTTGGATGGTTTATTAAAACCAGGGTCACCACTGGCACGAAAGCAGAGCACTGCCAATATCTCTGAGTCTGAAACACATTTTAAGGAATTTCTCCTTTTTCGGACATTGAGAGTTTTCAGTACTGTGTTTCAAATCTCTTAAAATCTGTTTTACTTTAACGGCATCAGGAAAAAAAGATGCCCTAACCAGCAGTACTGGAGGTGCCAGAAACACAAGCTATGCTATCAGTTTTATCAGAACAAGACAGGTCATGGAGCAGCCCTCAATGAACAAAGATCCTTTATTCAATCCACTGTCTGTCAGCCAACAGCTTTCAGCTGTAACACTTGAGTGTCATTCCTAAGTCAGTCACTCAGAACATGGATGTGTCAGAAACAGACAAGTGTTTGGTGTTAAATATGCACAGAGTGCAAGTAATTTCCCCAAATCTCAAACAGCTTAAACAGAAATAAATACAGTTTCTGCCAATTTCCCTTTTGTGTGGGGAAAAAAAAAAAATCAAAAATTATAGAAGGATCCCATAACAAGGATCAAGGAGATTTAAAAGAAACAAGATAGGAGATTTAAAAAGAAATGTGCACATGAGCTGATAATCACAGAAACTGGAAACACCCTGTACAGCAAACCAGTAACTTCAGCAGCTAGGCAGAAGAACAGCTGTTTCTGACCTAGTTTGGAATATAAATTAGTTCATACTCACATAATGAGGGAGCTTGTGTATCCAAAAACCTTAGCAGGACATTCTGGAAAACAGGAAGACTGGAACCTGTCAAGGAGGCTGAAGACAGAGATTCCTTTTCATCTAGGACTTCAGATTCACCACATCTCTGCACAGTTAAATAAATAAAAAAGCATGTCTCTACACCCAAATGCACATAATATTCCCACCATTTCCACCTGAGGCCACCACACATGTGCCTGTTTCCCACCTCTGCACAAAATCCAAACTTGCTCTAGAATGACAGGCTTTTCCCATTACCCAGTTTGATTATTTCTAAGGTGTTTTATTTAATCACTTTGTATTTACTGAGTGGAAAGGAATGCCTGAGACTTGTTCCATCAGCTGCAACGACAGTTTCACAGAAAACCAAAAATTCAAGATACAGAACTTCCAGGACCACTGTGAATAAAAAAGGGAACTTCTCCCGTGTAAATTACAAATTGAACAATGAGCGGGGCAAACCCCTCTGCTTGAGGAGGATTTGGGTGCAGTGAGGCAGGAACAATGCAGCGACTCCCTTCCCCCA